TTTTTTTTTTTTGTTAAATTGACACAGTAAAAAAAAAAAGTCTCTTGGTCTAAGTGTGTTCCCAATATAGTAATTTTTTTCCCCATCTGATGAAAACTGGAAACAGAGACTTAGAAAGAAAATACTGATAAGAGTCCTAGCTAAGGAATAAACAGCAAGCACTGCTCTAAAGCATGTCAACAAACAGCTCCTCTCAAACAGGTGTCTGAATTCCAATGGATTCTAATTATCTTCTAAGACAGATAGGTACAAAAAACTACTGATATAAAGAAACTCTGGACTAAAAAAATATATGTACTATAATTTCAGGAAGTCTTAGCTTGTGCCAGTGGCAGCTAGTAAGTAAAAGATAAGGTGGAAAATAATGAGGTTTTGTTATTTGTATGAGAAGTTTAAAGAGACATATTGTGAGTGAACAAAAGATGCACGATAAAACAAACGCTGCACTGAAGTAATTCTCAGTAGAAACGTAAAAAGCTGCAGGGTGCTAAAGAAGATGCAGGATCTTCCATGTGTGAGCGCTGTTTAGCAAGTTTTAGAGCCACTGCTATTAGTAATATGCAATATTCCAGGTTTTTAACATACATTTTAATTAGTAGACATCAAATTAAACCTCCTATTCCGATTTCTAGTCTTCCAAGAAAGAGATTTCATGGTGTCTTCATTTTGTCTTCATCGTGTGTATTGTTTGCTAATTCCTACATGCTCCCACCATCAAAAATATGCTTCTCAATTCACATTTCATTAATAACAGGACCAACAGAAGCTTTGGAAGCTGACATTTTCTCCTTTACTAGTTTGCCTAGAAGAAATTTTAAATGATGGATTTAATAGCACAAGATTAAGACCAAATTAGGGTCTTGGAGAGCCTCCCCTCTGGTGAAGGCTGGTTAAAGCCTGCTCGCTCCTCATCCCCTTCCCCAGTGTTTGGTATCAAGGCTGTGACATCCCCCAGGAATACTGAGTTTGTGCGAAGAGCTCTGGTTGTCCTTCCTCTCTGTGATGCTACAACCATGAGCAGTGTTATGCCCATGGCAAAGCCCTTCAAGCATTAATATGGTCTGGAGGCTGAACTAAGCTGTCCCTTCCAACTCAAGCCATTCTATGATTCTACATGGATGTTCTACGTCAAATATACACCCTTATGTAAAAAAATCACAGTAACTTATTTAACAATATTATTCATGTGCAAGTTACATGAAAACGTGGCTTCCAGAAGTTAAAAGCTAATATAAAGACAGAGATAAGCTGTTTTATTGCCTCATTTAAAAAATGTCTGTATTCTACTCTAGCAAGGACTACAGGCTGGAGACTGACAGACAAGAATAAAATAGCAGGGAATAAATTTTATGTAGCTATTTCCTTTCTCCCTCAAATGTGAATGCTTATGCAAAACACATTGCTTTAGATTCACTGACAATAAAGAGGGAATCATTATACGGGTAGTGGGTTCTCAGGGGAACACTTTAGCCAAAACACACTCTGCAATAATTCCCCACATCTTGGTTGAATAAATTAATTTATGAATTTTCCATGAATATGTTCAACCATTTCTCCCCTCATATATTTTATTGATCTCCATATACATTTAACAACAAATAACAGAGCTACTTTTCTATTTGCAGCAAAATAGTTTAGAGATGTTTATGTGGGCCTTGGGGTTCATAGTGAACAAATGCAGTTCAAACATCAGGGAGATGGCAAAGAAACATGGAGCTTGGCAGTGCCAGGGAGCTTTACTGGGAGAAAAGCTCAGCAGAGACTCATACCACCAGTGAGACGGGTTCTCTGAAACCAGAGGGACCAGCCCTGAATGTCCTAGGTAGAATCACTGTGAGGAGCTTCATGGCTCGTTTCTGCAACAGTTGTGATGTCCTCTTGATGCTAAAGATTGATGGGCTGGATCATTCCCTTGTTTGTTATGTTTTGACTTGTGCTGTGTATCTTTTTATTTTTGTGTGAGGAGATGAGGATGGCAAAAAGAAAAAGGGCATTTGATTTTTCTCCGCAAAAACAGAAATGCAGCGTCCGTGGTCTGGAGAAAACTAAGAGGCTCCTTCTGGACTGTACATCCAGTGGCAGAGTAGTCCAAAAACTTCCTTGTTGATCCACAAAACATCTCCTGTGGCCACTCTTCCTCTGTATAACACTTAGTTTGGTTCAGGCAGTGATGTTAAATCCAAAGTGAGTTATTGCAGTGAGTGGACACACCATCGCATGGAAAGTGTGATGTGTCCGTGTTTGTCTTTCAGGAAGGGCAAAACAGTTACATACAGCAATTAGCTGTTGAAAAGTAATCAGTATTATCTGAATTTAAAACCACAGAGTTCTTCTATCATCCTCCTCCAACACCAAGCTGTCACTTCATTTCTATATATATACAAACCCAAACTAGTAGGGTGGAAATCTGACATGATTAATCGTAGGGATAAATTTACTCACATGTGACTGCACCATTGTGATCTTCAGCTCTGGCTCTCTTCTTTGCCCTGTGCATTCAGATCAGAGAGAGCCTTTTTCAAGCAGTTTACTTTGGAGTTTTTTTAATTTTTTGAGCTTTTTGGTTGTCATTTTTGTCCATCTTAAGGAAAGCTGAGGAAAATCTTGTCTTGCTATTTTCAAGTAAAAAGCTCTTTCTTAACTGCACATAATAATGGACTTGAAATAGGCCTTACTATCTTAAAGGTGGTATTTGAAGTATAATTGCTAATGCTTAGCTACATCATTCATAGCTATTATGCACAATAAAGTATGTAACTAATTTATGTTCTGTAAGGGCTTAAATGATCGACTCCAGCTGCCAGAATATTTAGTCCTGTGTTCTCAATAACACACTGACTACCAGAATATGCTGCAGAAGTCGTTGTCTTCAGGACTGTATGCTCAGAGTGTTCTCCTTTCTCCTGTTCTTTCCTTCTGCTGAACTTTCTCTTGTGTTTGCATTGGGTCCAGACAGCTTAGATCAACCAAGTGTATTTATGGAGCAAACAGATGAAAACGAAGTACTTATATTCCCTTTAGTTTTGGAAGAAATTAGTGTAAAGCTCAAGCTAAGCTGACACATGTTGTGTGTGGCCGTGCATTTTCTAAGTGGGAAGAAGGGCAGAGCATCTCGGGGAGCGTGCGACCGCCAGGATGCATTGAAGTGCAGAATGGCTGGGAGATAATGTCAACAGAGTGGGATGTAGGCACAGGATAATGGTCTCCTGCTGCTAGATTAAAGCCTGGGCAAAGATGAACCCTTTTAACAAAAACAAACAGAGGCAAAGCCAAGATGTTTGCGGGACTTTCAAAGCAGGAGGCATTTATCTTGTAACAACATCCTGCGCTGTTCCTTTGGCTCCAACTGTACCCAAAGAACGGAAGATGCTGTTGTGATTCTCGTCAGTGGCTGCTGCTAGAGAAGCTCCAGTTGCCCACTGCTGCCTCACTGGTAACACCGTGCTCTTACGCCACATGGCCTCCAGCCTTCGAAAAAGCTGCATATTCCAAAACGCATCGTGTCAGGATGCTTAAGCACACTGGCCTACTTCTAAATGAAACATTCCAAAACGCATCATGTCAGGACGCTTAAGCACACTGGCCTACTTCTAAATGAAAAAGAATTAATCTGTAATAAAACTCTGACTTACCAAAGGGAAGTTGCAGCCCAGCATTCCCATTTTCCCTGGCAGGAGGCAGCCTGTGCAGGGAGGAGGAGCACCAGCTTCAGCGCTGCAGCTAAAACTGCCCCTTGCATTAAAAGCCCTCAGTCTGATCTGGTAAAATCAGGCCTTGAAGAACACAAAAAATGGAACTGAGTTCAGTTCACTAGTATCAAGGCAGAGAGAACAGCTCACACGTTTTTATTCCTGCTTCTCTGCACTGTTTTCTTTCACTCCGTTTTCTGAGTCCGTTAGTCCAGTCTCCAGCAATCTGTGCTGCTGGGCACAGTCTGGGGAAAAAAATCCTTGAGGTAGTAACTGCAGAGGAGAACATCTACACAGGCACAAAGCTCTTAGAGGAAAGTCAGAACTAAAATATATGTAATGCAAGCAGCAAAGGCTATGAATAGTCAAGTGTGTTATAAATCAGGACTTTTTAACTCACGCACTTTTGCAATATTAATTCTCCTGAGTTGCCTCATTTATCCAATGCTGCACATGTCCTGCTGTCCTAAATGGTTTGAATGTGGTGACTGTCAAGAGGTGCTGTAAATCCTGTCTGCTGAGGTTTTAGGGAAGGAAAAGGAACAAGTAACAGCATGCATATACTGTACTGCTCATATACTGTACTACTCTTCACTCTACAGTTTTACAGTTTTTTGTTGTATTTCTGGAGTTGATTGCATGATGGGTGGCTGGTTTTCGAGATGATGCTGTTAACTGTTAAGGCAATTTGTAGTTGTTGGTAGGAGTCATTGAAAACTTCCTCTTTGTTTAGAGAAGCTGATGTGTGAATGACCAGTCTGGTCAGCTGATAAGCTGATTTTTTTTCAGTTCTCACTGTTGTGAGGATTAGTGTCTTTCCGGACCAAGCCTGTTGCTTGCTGTGGAAGTTGAGGTCTCCCAGCTCCTCAGAAGACTGAACTAATAAATCAGCAGTGGTAACAGTGATAAATGGCATGATTTCACACCCAAAACATGGTCATGAAGCGTGGGAAACGCATGGGATTCTGGAGATTTGTGTTGTCTTTCCATCTTTGCTATTGATCTTGTAGGTCACCTGGAAAAAAAATGTTTCAACTTTCAATGCTCCAGATTCCATATATTTAAGCAGGGAATAATAACAACATTTTACAAGGCACATTTAGAAGCGTCGGGCAGAACTCTACATAGGAAGTAGCTATTATTGTCGTTAGCTGCAATAATAAAAACAATGGCATTTTCAATAGTGACTGAAGTTTTGCGGTCTGTCCAATGCCATTACTGCTAAATGCAGTTTCTCATTTAATCCACAGCTGCTGCTTTTATATCTTGTCCTAATTCAAAATGCATTCTTGCTTCTTTTTCTGATTGTAGTGCAAGCTGGAGTTTCATGCGTGTACTTCTGGCAAAACCATCACAGCTCGATGCGAAGGGCACTGCCCCTGCCTTCCAGGACCTGAAAGTTCAAAACACAAGACGGAGAAGACTGGTAAGTTGAGCTGTTAATAGAATTATAGCAGCTTAATTGGTTGCTGCTTCATTCTTAGAAAAACGTGAGAAAGACATTTCTTAACTAGTAGATTTTCTACGTAATTCTTTCTGAGAAAAAGCTAAGGTACAAGTAATCCTCTCCCAAACATGTAGCGCTGTCAAGCCTCTTGACTGCTGCAAAACTAACACCCACTTGATAGAGTCTCATAGTTCTGGCTAATGATTCCCATTTTTGAGTGAAAATATTTTGAATGAAAATATTGAGTCATCATGAAAAAAGATAGAAAAGAAAAAATACTATTTGATGGTTTAACTTCATAAGTTAAAAATATAATCAGTAGCCTGTGTGTTAACAAAAGTCATTTAAAATCACATGTATATATTCTATAGGATCTGAATTATCATTATAATTTTTGTTGCTACTAACATTGTCACTAGAAGTCAACAGATTCATTGCAGATAATGTTGTATAAAAGGGAAGGCTGGCATCTCAGCACAAATGGCCGTTTTCCCTGCCAGCTCTCCAGTGAGTTCTCTATTTAGGTCTGAAAGCCTGGTGAGCTAATTCACTCCCCCAGGTCTTTTCCGAGGAAATAAGCACAAGCTGTCTCAGAGCGACCTCATCCAAAGGGAAATAGTTCTTGAAAAAGAGACTGTCTAAAGGCAGAAGACCAGCAGCAGGCAGGTGCTGCAGCCAGGTTCTGTGAGTTTCCACCGTGTTGTGGGGAAAGCTGTCTGCAAGGGAAAAGAGTTTGTACTTGTGACTGTGGTTTCCTGATGTGAGTGCAGATGTGCTGGTGAGAGTTTCTGTGGTGAAGTGAATTCTCACTGTTTTTAAGGACTGTGTGGTTGTCCCTCTCTTAGCAGGAGTGTGAAGAGAGAGGGTTAACTCCCTGGCAGCAGCTGGAATCCTCTATTAGCAGCTCATCAAGCCACAGCAGTGACTTACGCAGGGTTTACTCGGTCATGTTATGCAGTGAAATGCATTTATTTGCCTTGTGCACCACTCGTAGTATAAAAAAAGGATGAAGTTTTAACAGTACTCTGACCCAAAGTATTTGAGAACCTCTCTTTGCTCTTACTCCTCCCCACTATGGACACGTTCTGACAGTAGCAGGCACAGAAAAAAAAAGTTTCACCAACACTTCCTCTAGTTAGTTCAGGCCCTATCGCTTTGCCTGAAAGCACTGATGATCTTGCTGGTGGTGCTCCCCACACCCCATCCCCTAGCACAGCGCCGGTATTCACAGTCAGCCTCCATCCACTTTCTAGAGCAAGAAGTGATTCTCCAGCCTAGGTTTGGAAAATTCAGATTTATTCCTTTTTATTTTTTTTTTTTTGCAAATCACAAACATTTTTTTTGCATAGCTATCAAAGTTAGACGAAGTATTTCAGATGGCAAGTTTCAGAAATCAATGTATAACTGTAATATTGCTTTATGTGGCTTGAAATCTTTTGGTTACAGTACATCCATGGATAAATTGCCTTATTCATACTTTCTATTTCTTGTAGCCCTTATCAGGCTACAAGAAATATTTCTTTGTCTTTACCCTTTCTATTTCTTTGCCCTTATCAGAGAGAGTATCAGATTAATAAATCTTCAGTGACATTTTAAGCTTACAATTTCATTCACACAACAGAAAAAAGATTCTAATAACCCTTATCTTGATAAATGCAATTTGACAGGGTATATGTATTCCGAAACCCGGGCTTTTGTTTTGCTTGACTCAAAACTTTCACTCCAGCCAACAAAGCATTAATTTAATGGATGGGATGATCTGCAGAGCAACTTTCCTGCAGGCTTTTTCAAGAGGCCGAACTTGAGCTAACAATACTCCTGCCATTGCCCTGACGAGGATATTAAAGTCCTCAATTCTGCCATCCTCAGTGTGGCATGAAGCGAGCGCTCTGCCTCCTTGGAGGGGTGCTGGATGTGCCCTGGGAAATAAGGGGAATCAGTGCTCTGTGTGTATGGAAACATTCACTCAAGGCACTAGTTATCTCCTGCATCGAGTGTATGCAAAGAATCTGTTCCTGAGCCTGATTACAGTGTTATAAGCAAAATAACTTGTACAGGCTTGGGAGTGACTCTGTGTGTGCATTTATATGTGTATGCAAAAAAAATAATAGCAGTATAATATTTTGCTTCATCACTTTCTGTTTCTTTCTGGGGTTAGGTGCAGAAATGTTGATAAAAGGATTTTGTATCGAGTCAAATATTCAATAGCAAAGGGGCTTTCTAACTTTCTTTGTCTTAAATTTTCTTCTGGAGTTTTGAATGTGGTTGTAACGTGCTGTTAAAAGACTTCATTCAACTTATGTCCTCGGTCTCCTTTCTGTAGACATTGTCTCTTCAGCTGATCCACTGAGTGTAGCGGAGTCTCAAACTGAATATTTCGGGGGTTTTCAGTCTTTTAACAAAGAGCTCCCATGTGAGGTGTACAAGGCAATCACATGGCAGAACGTGGCTGTCCCCTGAAGCCTGGTCACGGCAGCGCTCGAGTGATATCCCTCTCATCAAACCTCCAGACCTCTCAGTCTGCAGCTTCGCACTAGCATTTCAGTTACTTGGCACCTTAGTCTTCACACAAATTTGTATTTTCCTCAAATAGTACAATATTCTTATTATTATACTGAATTGCTATAAGAATCAGTAGTTCAATTTCTCATATAAAAATCGGTTTAGAAGAATTGTGTAGAGAGTTTGGACTCGGTTTCTGCTCCTTATTTAGTTGCCGGGTTTGTAAAGTCCTTTCAAATACAACATAATCTTAAGTAGAAAATGATAGAGAGCTAAACCTCATGCCTCATACAGACATGTCAGTGGAAAAATACTAAGGAGAATTACAGTGCAATTGCTTCCAGCAAAATGGAAATGCAGCTCTTAGAGCTACTGCATAAACTTTTTTTATGCCTATTACACAACAAGATTAAATGTATGTGGTTGTGAACTTGCAATTTGAAGACGGTTTGCGTTAATCTTTGCACATTCATTCAATCATATTCAAATATTATTCCATAATAAATTACCTTCAGAAATTAAAAATGTGAAGGAACATTTAATTTCCAGAGTACTGTAATTCTAAATGTCATGACCTTTTTTTATATACACTTGTGAGTAAAATTGGCAGCAGCATCAAAGAAAAGCAATCCAAGTGTATGTGTTTGGAGGTAACAATTGACTGCAGTGGCTGAGTTGTGTTCCTTCCTCCTCCCTGGGCTCCGTCAAAAACATCTCTGCTTTGAGGATGAAAATCAAGACTAATAATTGTGTTAAAAATTGGAATTCCTTTTATAGTGCTGACTGGTACTGTGGAGACGTTAATAAAATAACACAAAAGCTAGCAAAAGAAAAACTACACTGGAATTATTACCTTTAATGGCAAATAACAACAATATAATCTTTCTACCATAAAGTTAAATCTTTGAGGAGATGGCAGGATCATGTTCTTCATTTTCTTTAATGGAATTTGAGTCAGAGTCTGAGAGGTAGAAAACAGGACTCTGAAGGTAGTAATGGAAGAGTTTAGAATAGAAGACAAGCCCTGATGCTTCTTCTCTTTCCTTTTAAAGGCCCATTTAGAATTCTTTGGTTTATCAAAACACTTGGTATGCTTCATTATTCACAGCAGTATCCCAAATTGACAGTATGCTTCCATGATAGCTGCTGATTTTCAACTTGGCCCCCTAGGGTTGAGCTGTCACCTGCCCTGAGGTTAGCTGCCGTTCCAGAGTGTATGTGCCGTTTTGCCTAACACTATAACGTGAATAAGGCTGTGATTTCAACAAAAGAAAAGGTCTGGTAACTGACTCTGTGTCAGCTAAGGGACACAAGTTATTTAAGACACAAAGTCCTGTCTGCTGGTGGTTTTCAGGTACCTCTTTCGAAAAGCTCTGTAATACTAACTGCAGTTCTCATCAAGCGTAACTTATTTTGACGCTAGCTGAAGCTTCCCAAAGCCCTCCATCAGCAAAGGACTTCAGATGAGAAATGGCCAGGTTTTGTTCTTCAGAACCTACTGGCAAGGGAAGAGATCTCTCCCTGTAACGTGCAGTTCATTCTGTCAAGAAGATGACGTTGTGCCATGACCAGGACATCTCTTGGTGAAAGAGAATTCGTAGTTGTGGTTCTGTCGGCTTCCCCCATACCTGTGTACTCCTGTTACCTTTGTTAGTGGTGTAGGAGCTCAGGCCAGACAGTAAATGTTTAACAGCATGTCAGGGCTCTTTCTGACCATACCCTATTTTTGTGTTTTCTAAGAAGGTGAGTGCTGTGCTCCCAACACACATCCTTGTCTTCATTTGTTGCCATCAGGGCTGCAGAGCCACCGGAGCATGAATGGATGCAGCAATTCAAAGTAGGCTTATCTCTATCTGTGCATTGTGTCTTTTTGACCTTGCAGAAATCCCTGAGGCAACTTCTAAGAAAATGCCATTATCTTGATAAGGGAAATGCGAGGTCAGTAGGCAGAAGCAAATATATTCAATTATACTGAGTGTTGCTTAAATTTCTAAAGGGAACCAAGAGAACATTACAGGAGTAGGACTCGGCACGCTCAATCAAGAATCTACCTTGTTTAGAGTGGAGTTTAGGGTATGAACTGTAGCATTTAACTACCAGCCCTATTGGGTGTGATGGATGAGAAGGTCTAATGTTCTATTTCTTTATAAAAAGAGCGCTCAGTATGTGAAGTTCATTCGAAGAAATCATAGTCTTGTTTCCCCAATGAGTTGTATCGCTTCTTGTGCCTGAATGACTGACAACTAAAAGAATTTAAAGTCTTGGAACTAAGTCTTTTTTTTAAAATCCACTTCCAGCAAATATTTCAGTTTCAAATTGCTATTCACAAGTTTCATGACTGCAGAATACATCATTTTAAAGTTCATGAAGATGAAATATGAGTCATGAACAGGGTTGACTTGAAATTGGTTCCTGCATTTGATTTGTCAAGGAAAATTTTCCTTTTGTGACTTTGACTTTGAAAAACAACTCTTCCT